ATGTTCAGAATTATGTGGTGTTTACCATGGATTAAAGCATGAGTTCATGTAAAATGAGACTATTTGCTGAAAACTTCTAAAATATAAAGATACTATATTTTTATTAGATAACTTAGGTATAATCGTTAATCATGGTGTCACTATTGTAGGTGTATCGTTATAACAGGTGCTCAGTTACGTAAAGGAGCTGCACCGATTTTAAATAAAAAACCTATAAAAATTAAAACTAATCCTAAGGTGAATTGTGTATGGTTAACAGAAGGATCAAATTTCGTTATCAGACAGTAAATAAAAAATCAATTTGTAAATATAATTCTAATAATAAAATTAGTATTGATAAGTTAAAATTCTTTATATATAGAACAATCAGCAGGAAACTACTAAAATTTTCTCAGAGACTTTATGTCACAAATAATTATAAAAATTATTAAGATAAAGCCCAACAAAAAAAAGTCACCTTTATCTTAAATAGTAATAATAATTGAAATAGAAATAGTGTTATAGCGAACCTAAGTATTTTATTATTAAATAATAATCCTAATTTTTTAAGATTAAAAAATAAATTAGTAAATTATGAATCTACCGATAAAACTATAACCAATTATATTAAAATTTATTTAGATAGACCTTTAGATTATTATTTATCAAAATATGATCCTGAAATTTTGCTAATATACAACCTATCATTAAAACAAGGATGAAAATCTTTAGAGGAATATAAAAATATTCCAGGTATTTATAAATTTACAGCATTGCCTTTGAATGATAGTATTGATACTTATATAGGTTCTACTAAAAATATTTATCAAAGATGCTACATTCAACACAAAAATCATGCTTTTGTAAATACTAAAAAACACCACTTATTTTATAATAAGGTGGTACAAAATGGTTGAGAATCTTTTCAATTAAGTATATTAACTATAATACCTGATTATTGTATAGAATTTGCTAAAATTTATCCAGAATATATTATATCAAAAAAAGATATACTTATTCTTTCTGATTTAGTTTCTTTAGAATTAACTATAGCAGTGCGAAGCTGCAAAGCCAAAATTTATTTAGATTATTTTAAACCTAATTTAAATAGTAGTAAACTAGCTAATTGGTCTACGTATAATAAGGGTTCTACTGGTTTTATAAGAAGCGATGAAATGAATGATACTACTTCTTTACAATTATTAAATCGTAACTACAGTGAATATACTAAAGAACTTCATAAAAAAATAATACAGGAAAAATACTAGATATTATAACTAAGGAAAAAATGTCTAAATCTCAAGGAGGTGTTACTGTAAAAATATTAGATGGTATTACTAATGAAGAACTAGCTGTTTTCAATACCAAATCATCTTTAGCAAAAGAATTAAATGTTAGTTTGAGAACAATTAGTAGATGGCTGGATGACGTTAAAGTACATTCAACTTTTTCTTTAAAATACCCTAAAATAAAAATTATGTCATGCCTATTGTAGTAGAAGCAGTACCTAGTCAAGATTTTTTAGTTTGAGTAGAATCTGTATCTTAAAAAAAAACTATTAAATCATTAATTATTACTAAATATCGATTAAAATTTAAAACTTAGTTATTGCAATGCTGCGCAGCGGAGCGCTTGAACTAAATAGCTATCTAGCTATTAAGAGGTACTTTTGCTCCCTTTTCGCACTGCCTAGTACCTGGAGACCTTCTTCCGCGCAGCAGCGCAGCACTACGACTACTACCCGCGGTAATAGTACCAGAAGAAGCGCAGTTTCGGTAGCCTTACCGTGCAAGGCACTACTGCAAAGCAGAGCAGTGCCGCGCTCTACGAGGGCTGCATCAGCATCTGCGGCTTAATAATCCAGTACGAGGTACCCGGAGTAGAAATGTATTCAAATAAAGAACCCATTAGTAGAGGTATTGTTAATAACAAATTAGCAGTAGCACATAATCTAAGATATCAGAACTTATATTTTATAACAGATATTAACCCCTTAAGTTATTTTTCTACGACAAGTCGCAGCAAAGTATTTATTATTATATAAATAAAATGGCAGTTACAGGGCTTTCGTAATACCACTAGGCCTTGTTACATTAACATAACATGTTAGCCCTCTAGTTAACCCTTTCCCAAGTTTTACCCTGCAGCTCCTTTAGTAGAAGAAGAAGTAGTCTGGCTATTATTCTTCCGGGTTTGCCGCCTCAGCAGCAAACCCGTAGAAGCCAAGCAAAGACTACTCTTCTACTTCTATTTCTACTTCTTCTGGAAATGCTTCTTTGTTCTGCACTGGTGAAGGTGGGCAGTAGCAGCCGGATCATCTAGTAGCAGAAGTAGTGCTGCGCAGTGCTGCGCGGCACTACTACGACTATTACTTCTCTCGTTAGGTACCGGCGCAGCAGTGCTCCGCACCGCTACCGTAATAACAGTGCAGCAAAGCACGAGAACCGCCTGCAAAGGAAAGGCAGAAGAAGAAGATATTATTCGTTCTTTAACGAGATGGTAGAAATGCAGTGCAATATCCCCGAATGATCTTACTCCTTTGGTCTTTCTTTGATTTTCTTACGCGCTCAGGCTCAGTCGCTTTCTGAACGGCTTCGTCTCACGGTGGCCGAGATCGATCATCAGCTACGGACTGCGCATCAAATTCGCATGAAAGCCGTTTGTCACCGTAAGTCCCGCCCGGCAACGGAGACCACGCAAGCAGCAAACGGTCTACTTTTGGCCGCGCAGTTGTTTGAATTCCCTTATACAGGCCATCGTCTCTTCGGCAGCCACCCATTATTAACCGTTCTTTAACGAGATCCTACGAAACCTGTGCCAATTCCCCATGTGGTTCTATCTCCATTATGTTTCCAGTCCTCTCGTTCTTCAAGGACGAGCTCCCTAGCATGGGGCGCTGTTCTCTGTCACTACGGTCTGCGGAAACTTCGCCGCAGCCACTCCCGCACGCTCTCCGCAGATCTGTTGCGTCAAATCCAGGCATCGTTTGATCGCAGTTGATCATCCCCTCAAAGGCTGTTGAAAACTTCTAAAATGTGTTTAAGATTGAGGCGGCTCGAACCGACGCATGCGTGCCGTGGTTCAGTGACCTGCCAAGCTGGACGTGGAGGCTGTGGTAATTATTCCGAAACTGGGACACTCTGCCCAGCGAACACACTGCTCGTCTCGGTTTGACGTCCGGGGGACCTTCGATGGGCTGTGCTATGACGTGAATTCCATTTTGAACAGACTACATGTCTGTGAGCAGAGCGCTCAGGGCCCATTCAAAAGGGAGGCCTGTGTGACATTGCTTTTGTCTCTCCCCATCATCACTCCGCCCTCCAAGAGCATCCCTCTGCCCTCCAATACATCACACAACATGGAGCAATCCCTCCGCAAGACCTGCATAGCATCAAACCTGAGTATCAAAACCGAGACAACTATGCAACTGCAACTGCAACTTCGCTGAGGCTTGCTGTGCCCCTTCCCTATACCGCCGCAATCCAAGAATGTTCCTCCCTCCTTCAATCCAGTGCTCAACAGCTATCTATCAAGCCTGCCCAAGACACAGTAGCATCGTTTCCCGCTTCAATACTGCGCTTAAAGGCCGTCAAAAAGACCAGGCAAGGAACAAGACTGACGACAACGCAATGCTCGGTCGCAAATCCGTGCCAAAGCCCAATCGCAAAACCCATTCCGGCAGCAGTTTTCAATACTGGGAATTGTTTCGTCGTGCTTCCAACATCAACAGACTCGAATAATTCCATACCGCAGCGTGAAGTTGTATCCCCTGCTATGCCCATATTATATGGACGACTCTTTGCAGCATGGGCCGCCATTGGTACAGACCTCATGGGAGTCTTTCTGGTACGTTTTCCTTTGAGTCATTTCATTCTTCTGTTTTTTCAACACGCAGATATAGCTCTCCTCAGCCGCACTTTCTGTATACGTCTTGCAAGCGTATGGTACGTGCGACTCTTCTATTTTTATCTACATTTTACCGACGCGGCAGGTAGTGAGGCACTGCCATGTGATTATCCTACGAGCGCAGGTGTGCAACTCCATTCCCCAATTTTTATTATTTTCAGACCCCCTGGTTGTGGTGTTAACAGATCAGATGCAGAGACGGATCTAATGCCGGTATGCTTGGTTTTTTTGTTGTTGTTGTTTTGTTCAAATTCGGAGTTCCGCTAACATCAAATTAATCTAGCGCGTTGATAACTCGGCCGACACTCCCAATTCAACTGCCCGCCGCAAAATATTATTCAAGCTCTGGTGTTCAGGCGATAGTACGTCGCTTTCTCTCCCATGTTCTTCGTCGTATTGACCAAATGTGGATATTCAAGTTGACCAGTGCGACATTGGCGCGCACTTTCACATCGTCCTATGAAATTTTATTCAATGCTTCGGATACGGCCCGGCATTGATTGCATTCACGCGATTGAAGTCCCCCGCGCAACATCATATTGTCATCTTGGCCGATGTTTGCGATACTGCAGGTATTTTACCCCGATTTCCTGTGTTGTCAATGTGGTTCTGGTGGGCCTTCCTCGTCTACTCTTTATCCACTCGTACATTGACTGAACACATTTCTTTCACATAAACAGTGCTACACACCAGGCACGGATAGTGTTACTCTCCAGTTTCAATTTTCTCCCTGAACCCACGAACAGATTCATATCGACCACGTTACTCTCCCATCGTGTGTAGCAGCTTCGCATTACTTCCAGAGTTCGACATTGATCTATCCCTCCGTATCGCCCGAACCTGGGGCCTTCTCCGGAAATTTTCTTCAGTTCTCCGATTCCACCCAACTCTAGACCACTCGGCTACATTTTGTAATGATGTGTATGTGTTCACATGAGAATTACGTATTAGGTCGAAACAAGTTTATGCTTTCTTTCGACGCAATGAAAAAATTAGAGTATTTCTACCTATCAATGTCACCCAATGTCACCCACCTACGCCGGAGCGAAGCGAAGGCACATCTTGTAATAATATAAATAATTTGTTTAAATTTATAAAAACTTTAATTAAAAGAGATAAGATTAGTTTAATGGTAAAACGACATCTTGTGGCGATGTTAATCAGAGTTCAAATCTCTGATTTTATCTTTGTTAATAAAAATAATTCAAGTCTTAACTTAATCAAGTTGGTACATTTGTCTGCCTTCCTGCTTAGTTGAAGATACAGCCTCGGCATAGCAGCACTGCGAGTGCGCCCTTCTACTCTCTCGCTCCTGGCAGAGCAAAGCGCACTACCGGTATCGGAATCAGAATGTAAGGCTCGGCACCCTGCAGAGGGACGCTGTGGCACCACATCAAGGTGGAACCGTGCGCAGCCTTGATGTGGTATTCTCTGCTCAACCTTGCGCAGTCGTAGAATGGACGCAAAGCAGCAGCTCCCTTTTTAACACTCCGTACGTACAACCTAAATCATTTTTATACCGTTTTTATTGTTTTAAGGTTAATAAATAAAACATCTAAGCTTCTTTGGTACAGTGGTAGAACAACTTCCCTTCACGAAGTAGACGTCAGTTCAATTCTGATAAGAAGCTGTATAAAACAATGCGCAGCACTAACATTAAAAAAAAAACTATTATTATTCTCATTAAACTAAACTCTAATTAAACTACATTACTGTTATTAGCCTAACTTAGACTACTCCAAAAATAACGGATCGTTACAACGCTTTGCTGCGCCTCTGTGGCGCGTTAGCCCACCCCGGCATCCTACGGTTCCTGCTGCGCTAGCGCGGCAGGAAACCGGCTTTGCCTAATCGAAGGGCGTAAGCAAGTACGGGTGCAGAGAGAGGACTATCATCCGGAGGCTTTTCGCTGTGCTATGCTGCTGCGCTCTGCCCTACGAGAGCAGTGCTGCGCAACATAGGATGCAGGGCACACTTCTCCGGACTATTAAGCAGCAGATCATACCTTGCTTGCTTGCTTTGCAGCCGGCGGTCCTACTAACCTGTACTTGCTCCGCTGTAACTATCGCAGAGAAAGGATTAATTATATTGTTTTTATTATTTAAGTATATAGTAGGTTAAAAAATTGTAAAAAATTTAAAAAATAAAAGAAAAGAAGTATCAAATAAGTACAATAATAAAGGGTAGATGACAAGTTGGCCAGTCGCTTACTTTGGGAGTAAGATCCACCGTGTTCGAATCGCAGCTACCCTGCAAAAAATGTTGCAGCAAAACACACTGCTCTGCGCTAGCGCCTTGTAATACAAAAAAAATGTGGTATCACTTGAACTAATTACCACGGAATATTAATAAGTACAGCATGAATTTAAAAATTCAATTAAAATTATATAAAAAAGATGTACGCGACCTTAACCTTGTCTTGCTTGCACTGGGGTTACACCCCTACCTCGCAATTACAGCCCATTGGCTCGGTCCAAGAGGGGAGGACCCACAGGTTTTGCTATGCCAGACCTTGTTGGCCTTTCGCCGTATTTGTGGTGCTCACAGTGGGCAGCACATTGCACGCATTGTGTTCAATATTTTGGAAGATGCTGGAATTGTGTGGAACATGAATATTTACCCTGGCTGCTTTGTTTTCAAAACCATTATCTGACTTGTTGGATACCCTCAGGTCGGACATTTTACTCTCGACAATGCATCAAATAATGGAACATTCATGTTGCATCTCAGCTTGCTCCTGAGTGACATTGGTGTTGTTGACTTCGATGAAAAGCAGAACTACATCCGCTGTTTTGCCCATGTAATCAACTTATGCTCACAAGCTGTTACCAGGGTTATGGAAAAGGACGACGCTGATGCAGAACACTTGGACTCAGATACAGAGCCAGCAATGGAGTCGACTGACAAGGAGGAACCAGTCCCAGTTGGCATGCATGTGACACACTACACATGAAAGGCTGGCCCTATTCACTGTGCTCACAAGACCGTTGGATTCATCCGGAAGTCGGGACAAAGACAGGATGAACTCCAAAATTTTATTGCTCACAGCAACTCACATTCCCTGTGGAAGGAGGTAACTGTAGGAGAAGAAGGCAAACTGATCGAGTCACCAGTTTGAAATCTGAACTTTGAGTCTTCCACTTTATCTTTCTAACTTGTATACTTCCTAGATGAAGCTGGCATCAGTGACGGTTATTGCGGATGTCAAGACCCACTGGGACTCTGTGTTTTATATGCTTTGTCGGCTGCGATATTTACAACAGGTAAGTTAACATTCAAATTTGTTCCCAATTATGATGTGGTTGCTCTTGGGAATTTAAGCCCATTGTTTGATTTTTTGCACTAAACCGGGATGCGAATAAGTTGCGCCACCCTTTGGAAAACAAGCACTGGCTTTGTTTGGAGTTAATGGAGTTGATTCTTCAGGTGACATCAAATAAATATCTACCACCCAGATCTAATCCTTTGAGTTAGCAACCACACACCGTCCAAACCACTATGTCAGCAGAAAATACCCCTATTCTTGCCGGTTCCATTCCCGCCTTCAAGCTCTTTATTTCGTCCTGGAAATCCATGCTTGCTGACACCGACCTGCAAAACGAAAATATTGCCAAATTCATTCAACCCAGCCTTGACATTGCGACAAATTATTATAACAAGATGGGAGATACGGATGCATACATCATTGCTATGTGTTGACTAGTATAACATGTGCTTAGTATGCAGTCATCAATCCTTCAATCTGGTTTGAGTGGATTCACAAGAATTGGTCGCAAGAGGAGCAAGATGAGGCAAAGAAAGTCATTTTGGTCAAGGTGAGTCAACCTCAACCTCATCATATTGTGTTATGATCCGACTGATTGGGTCTTAAGCTGCAAGCAGACGTGAATGTTGTTGGGTCCCCGGATCTTCGCTCTCAAGCCAGTTCCCCTGGTGCTAGTGGATCTGGCTCGGATTCTCGCCCTCCATCATGATCGCATTCCCGAACCCGCCCACTGGCAGGTGTCCCAACATTTATTGTGATCACGCAGGTAGCAAACCGCTATCGAAATGCTGCACAGTCCCTTGATTTTTCTGGTGCAAGCAGCAGTGCAACTGGTGGTGAGCAATAGAGAGGTTGCGGTGAGCCACCAGAGCCACTGGGAGCCACCTGGTGGCTCTGATGGCATGCGGTGGGGAGTGGCTACCGCATTTGGTGGTGGCTGAATATATGACATCAAAACACTTCTTTTTCTTCGCTTCCATCTACTTCACACCCATGCAGACCCATGCCTGTGCAGGCATGATCTATGAGAGCAAAAGAGGCGGCTTTAGACACTTGAATCATTGATATATTCACCCAACACCGAAGAAATGACCTTAGCAGACTAGTGGATTGCATTCAAGCCTTCAAGATAGCTTAGAGATACATATTGAGGACACCCAAGCAGCCACCAGATCAGCCACCAAATGTGGTAGCCACTCTGCACCGCATGCCGTCAGAGCCACCAGGTGGCTCCTGGTGGCTCACCGCAACCTCTCTAATCTGTTGAAGACGAAATAAATCACTATATGAGCAGTTCTCTCTCCCACCGCAAAAGTCAACTGACATGGTGGGCTACTGGATGATTTGACACTCAGGTGTTCATTTTCAACATCACACTCATGAATCTGAACTTAGACTCACAGGAGGAAAACTAGGCCGCGTATATTCCAGCTCTTTGCAGACTACACTCCTATCTAGGCCACCTCTGTGCCATCCAAGCATGTTTTCTCATTGTCAGCCGAGACTAATACCAAACACCAAAACCGCACCAATGCCCTGCTGATGGAAGCACTTCAAATGCTGAAGTTTAATTACAAGAAATCCCGACTTAACTTCATGTCTGACTGGCAAACAGTTGCCATTCCTGACGAGGAGGAGAACTGGCTTCACATTTTAGCTTCCAAAGGTGATGGTGACACAGCAGAGACTTGGTGAGAAATTTCTGACAGCTTTGAGTTGACAGATGGCGTGGCACATTTGAATATGCCAGAGGACACTGGATTCTCGTAAACATCTACCATTTGTCAATTGTAGCCTACCGTACCCTATGCTACACACATTGTTCAATATTTCAGGGGAAAATGTCATCGACTTGATCGACTCAAGTCGACTTAAGTGGCTTCAAGTGACTTGGTTTCCCTAAGTCAAGTCGAGTCAGCAGTTCCCTTAAGTCAAGACTTTCAAGTCACGACTCAACTTAGCGAGTCACGGCAACACTAGCTAACACCATGCTTGATGAGCACCTGTGCAATATCAGAATGACCCTGCTTCAATGCAAGGTCCAAAGCAGTCTTGCCCTCATTGGTGGCTAGGTTGACTGATGCATTGTGCTTAATGAGCAGCTGTACAATTTCAAGCTGACCCTTCCTTGATACAAGATGCAGAGCAGTCTCACCATATAGGGTGGCTGGGTCAACAGATGCATTGTACTCAATGAGCAGCTGTGCAATGGCAAGGTGACCCTGATACAAGGCAATATGCAAAGCAGTCTCGCCATATGAACTGGCTAAGTCAACAGATGCATTGTGCTTGATGAGCAGCTGTGCAATGTTGGGGAAACCCTGCTTTGAAGCAAGATAAAGAGCAGTCCTGCCATGTCTAGTGACTAGGTTTACTGATGTGTTGTGCTCAATGAGCACTTGTGCAATGGTAAGGTGACCATTATTCAATGCAAGATGCAGAGCAGTCTCACCATCTTTGTTGACTAGGTTAACAGACGCATTGTGCTCAATGAGCATTTGTGCAATGTCAAGTTGATCTTGCTTCAATGCAAGATGCAGTGCAGTCCAGCCATCCTCCGTGGCTAGGTCAACAGATGCATTGTGCTTAATGAGCAGCTGTGCAATGTCGAGATGACCATGCTTCAATCCAAGATGCAATGCAGTCTCACCATGTCTGTTGGCCAGGTCAAGAGATGCATTGTGCTCAATGAGCAGCTGTGCAATGTCAAGGTGACCATGCTTCAATGCAAGATGCAGTGCAGTCTCACCATATCCAGTGGCTAGGTCAACAGATGCATTGTGCTCAATAAGCAGCTTTGCAATGTCAGGATGACCCTGCTCCAATGCAACATGGAGTGCAGTTTTGCCATCCTTAGTGGTTATGTTCATGGATGCATTGTGTTCAATGAGCACCTGTACAATATTGAGGTGGCCCATCATCAAGAAAACCGGAAAACAGCAATTGCTGCCAACTGTTGACAATTGTCGATAATTGCCTGATTACCAACAATTATCAACAATCGTTCAATTATTTATACCCCTGACAATTGACGCCAATTGTTGACCGATTATCGGCCAATACACGCAATTGTGAACGATTAAGAACCGTTTATGAACGATTATCTGGGGTGTATTCGTGTTCATATTCCCAGGTCACCCAGATGTTTGGAGAATGTGCATGTATTCAGATTGCTACGAGTACATGTTGATCTAACTACATACATACACTAATTAACTAGGACGACACCCGTCAATACCCGATACACCGTACCCTAGATCTACTAGACCTTGTCAAGGTTGAATGCAGCGAGAGGATTGAGATTGCAGACCGCGGATGGGGTTATGGTAAAATTTTGGTGTGTTCTAAATGAGTGTACGTCTTTA